ATTTATGATACGGTGTTTTGAACACATGGCAATAAAATTTTTAGGCAAGATATCGTGATTTCTTGACATATTAATTATTCGCGGAATTTTAGGAAAACTTTTTCTCGGTTTACATTGTCAATGGAGTATTTGGCAGGATATATATTTATATATGTATGTATGCAAAATTTCTATCATTAACTTTTAAAAAATGCAAAATACATTGCTGACAGAAGTCATAGTTTTTCGTTAGCATAATATAACGTGTAAGTAAACTTTTACATGCATTTAAATATAGATAATACTGGAAATTATGACTATATATTCTTTATTTCCAATGAACACATATGGGGTACTTTTATTTTTCTCAATGTGTTTGCTATGGGGAAAATGACCAGTATGCTGTCTCGCTAAAGTTATCTATTAATGTAATATTAATATATAACAACGTGAAAATCACATAGATGCAAAAATTGCATAAATGTCAAAAAATTGCAGAGATGTAAAAATAATTTGTTCTCTCACTTCTTATCTTGCCGCCCAGACGGTATGGTGGTTAGGGGAAGTCCATTGCGGTACCCAAGGGCCCGGGTTCTAATCCCGAAGAAGTCATGTATGTTTGTAAGTGTCTTTTCGGGCTGCTCTCCCTCAAAATTGGAGTGGAAGTAGAAGTTCAACCTCCTTGAGGCTCTGGCAGCCATTATTCTGTAAAATACATGTACAAGACAGCAACAACAACTTCTTACCTTTTGATTTACTGGTACATATTTTAAGTTATAGCTAATATTGAAATGCGTCTTAATGTTAAGTTTTTTATAAAAAGAAAAATAGCCTTTTAGTTAAAATTCTGGCTATGGTTTTTTTAAATAAATAATTACTTAAGAGGGCAAGAACTCAAATAATGAGTTTTGTTATCATCATCATTCTATCTCTATACTGACAAGCTCTCGGAAGTTTTAAGCTTTTTCTCATCTCTTAGCCAGCCCAAAAATCACTCTTTGATATAATCCTCAATAATAGAATAATGAAGCTACTGTAAAGAAATTGGATTAAGGAGAATTTTTAAATGCATTTTAATTGCGATATACCTCTTGAAATGTGTTAACTATAGTTAATTTTTTATTTATAGTTGACATAAAGAGGCTTACTTAAAAACAGTGATATTTTTAAGAATTTTTTTTATACTTAGTAAAAGGTACTAATGAGCATATTTGACAATAATGTGCATACAGAGAACGATTCATTTTTGCTCTTCATTTGATCCAAGGTCCTTTAGCCAACACCTAACTTTATTTAGCATTTAAGTCACTCTTGTTGTTAATTCTAAAGTTTGCCTGTTGAGGAAAATGAGAACTTGTTTTAGCCTTGATCTTCGACTTATATTTTCCTTGGAAAGGAAGTGGATTTCCCATAAGCCGCAAGGAAAACGAGATCCATGCATTTATTGAATCCACGAGAATTTAAAGAAGATTTACTGTTTTAATTTAAGCCTCACAGTAAATGAAAATCTCTTAAAATTTAAAATAAATGTTAAATAGTTTATATGTAGCACTCGTAGCACTTCTCTGAAACTAAAATGAAGAAAGCAGGCGCAAAGAAATCAGAAAAAGATGCTAATATTGCATTAAATTATTATTTTTTTTATTATTAATCAAGGATTTTCAGAATTTTTATTCAACACGTTCCGTTATCTTGTTGAATGAAAGATGAAAGAAACATTTTCTTTAAAATACGCAAATACTAATTATATTAGAATATAAGTGTATTGACACATTCCAGTGGAAGAATACGTTATTCAAAATTTGAGGTCTTTAGGCATCGTTGTTTTTTCACTGCGGGAAACATGCATACATTCATACAGATTCTTCATTATTTGATTTCTTTAAATACAATACAGGGAGATAATATTTGGTGGCAACAATTTGTAAAGTGATACGCCATTTATAGTAATTCAACGCAAAATACCGTTTCGAGACTAACGTCCGTTTCGGACTAAAAATAAAGACGAAAATATGTTCCTATTGTTTACTTAATCAAAGTTTCTCCCATTATATAAAAGTAGAACATTTCTGTAAAACCCGTAGTGAACTAAAATGGTTGAAAGCAAATAGTTTATGCAAAATCGAATTACATTTTATATAAATATTAGCTTACATGAAATGTATTTTTGAGATTTACCAAAACAAAATTCAGCAATCAAATCTTACGACATAACACCTAAATCTAAAAGAAAAGAAAAAAAAGCCGATATGAAAAGAAGTAGCGTTAAGCACAATATAACTGTTCTCTCAAAATCGAGGAGAGAGCAATTCTCGATAAGTCTAAGGAAAGGGTGGTTATGATGAAACGTTAGGTTTATTTGATTACAGCAAAAACCTAGAGAGTTATTTGCCTAAAGGGAATGATGTCTTCGCGGAGGACTTTCTAAGGGAAACTGGTTCGTATATACGTTACGCATGTGGAAAACCACGAAATCGTCCGTACAGCTAGCTCGTTCGTGGGATTCGAACCTCACACCGAGCTGTAAATGTTCAGCCACTTTACCGCTCGCTCTTTGGTGGGCCTTGGTCCGTTAGAAGAGGTCATTATAGATCGGGTTATCATTGATGCAAGAGCCCTAAAAGATGAAGAAAGGAAAAGAGATGATCATGATTTAAATCTGTTAGCTTCAACGGCTGTCTCACTTGTGTAGTCTCACTCGTAGTGCCAAAGATCGAATTTTGTCATCTGCTTTAGTTGAAGAGAAAGCATAACAAGTTACTCATAACCGCTTATAGACCTTTTTTATCATGCAGTAACTTAGTAAAAATTTAAAAAAATTCTGAAAAAATATGTTTTCTTTTACTATTTAAATCATAGTTTTTTTCAGTAACTGCACAGAGCAATTTCGAATGCCGTTTCCACATTTCACCGTTTTTTAACATGCAATGGCATAAACAATAAAAGTAACTCTCAAATATTTTAATAACTATAAATGTTCACTTTGCATTTATTGTATTATCGTTTCGTGGTTACAATTTTGTAACTTTGATTTCGTTTTAGAATCCAATGCTTGACTTTAATTTTGCTACAGGAGCTCAAAAATTAAGGATTTGATGTTAATACGATAGTGCTGCTTTTAAGTTCAGTAAAATACCGTTGATGTAGTGAGTCTTTATCTGTATTTTATTGCGTTTTCTCAGCTAAGAACCAATAAACATTTCGAAGCAATAATTGTTTGTTAACCAGAATTTCGCTTCCAAGTAAAATATAAAGTGCCATTTCACCTGGAAGAAATATTTGCTGCAATCCTCATTCTCAAGTGATCCAGTTGAAACGTGCTTGAATAAATAATATCTTGAATAATGCTTTTCCTTGTTTAGTAACTACCCAGGGGTCTACGTGGTATTCATTTATGATGAAGAAAAAAAAACCATACTAAGTTTCTCCCACATCACTTTGCACTTTTATCTTTAACATGTTTCTTCTAATAATACATGATTTTATGTTCTATATATCTTGAACTCCTCGCGGATTAATTCTTAAGTAGTAGGGAGATTGCAACTGTTTGACTTGTTTCAGGAGTTAAACAAAAACAAAATTAGACTAGGAAGACTAGATTACAATGACTTAAATTTTCACGATTTTTATATTTAAAAACCCTTTTAATATTTCATTAACTTTTTAAAACTTCAGTGGTTAGTTTATTGAAGAGTTAGACTTCAGTTTTTTAATGTTTTAAGGAAATTATTATCCTAAAAGGAATGTTAGTCCCGAATGGGATGTTAGTCTTTAAACGACATTTTGCGTCAAAACACTTAAATGCGTTGTATCACTTTTCGGGTTGTTACCACCAAACATTATCTCCCTGTTATGTATTAAAGGAAATTAAGTAATGAAGAATCTGCATCAATGTATGTAGTTTTCTCTTACTGTGTGAAAGCAACGGTACCTAAAAAGCCATCAGATTCTAAATAACGTAATCCTCCACTTAAACGTGGGCACCTGGAAGAACGAATGTTGAATTTTAAATTTGTTTCATTATCTATTTCATATGCGTAAAACCTTAACAAATTTTTTATTAACAAACTCAAGTATTTCAATCTTTCTCAACGAGCAGTGGAAATACTATAGGCAGAGAAGCATTTTTCTCTCTAGCGTGAGATGTTGAATCGAAAGCACCAAGAAAGTGATATTTAATACATAAAGTAAACATACAAATGGGTTAGTAGGAATGAGTGTAGCAACAAACTGGTAGACAGCGATCTCAAAAAGCATAAAAAACCTTAACAAACCCTTTTGGGCTGCCACTAAAATCTGAACATTTCAGATTTTTTTTAATTTGGATTTCTTTTAGTTTGCGAATCCACCTACAAGCCTTTCGTAAAATCCACTTTCTACAAAATGAGGATGACTGCATTTATTGCTTATCAAAATTTCATATACAAACTGAGAATTGGTAACAGCGACCTTACTTAAGAATAATGTTAAATTCAAACGAAGATGCGTTTGAAAGAAAAGAGTGTCTTTCATTCGCAGAAAATAAAAATTTACTGAACAATTGTTTTAAAAGTATAAGCTCTAAAATCTTCTTCAGTTTCAAGAAGCTGTAAGTTATGGAATAAACAAACAGATGGTTATCTCGTACTGAATTCGAACCTTTGTGTTTTATCCACTAAAAGTCTAACATAACGTCTACAAGACACACAAATGCATGCTATGATCCCATGTAAAAATAGTATCATAGCAAGATTTCCTCTCCACAATGTCAACGAACTCTAGTTTCACTACTGACATTTCATTTCGAAAGTATATGCTAGTCATCAACAAAGAGATGAAAGTATGTGTAATAAGGTCAACGAATGGACAATCTCAATTATGCATTTCTCTATCGACAAGAAAAAAAAATTATGAACATTTACACTCAAAGAGCCTTCTCGTCTTAGAAGGTAAAAGTAGTTCAAGCACAGCCTACAGCAATCCGGGAAACTAGTTCCTTTCTCTCTAGCAAGGAGGCTCCACAAGGGGCCAAATTTTAGCACCTTTAGATCCACCCAGGGTTAAAATATTTTCCAAGGTCATAAGATGGAAATGAACTAAGTGGGATCTAGATAGGAGAAATATGTCACTTATTAAATGCAAATAGCTTCATAGTGAAAAAACTGTTGTCTGTGCGACTCGAAAAGGCGAAGGAGAGGGAAAAGAAATCCGGCCCTCAAAATTTGTGGTAGAAGACCTAACAAGCACGTCTCAATGACCTAGAAAGTTCTGCGTTAAGTAGGCTACATATATAAAGCGTGGTTTTTGAACTTGCCCTTCGAGATCTACGATTCGAGTCTTAAATTTTGGATATACTTGAATAACAGTCGACAAATACAAGTAAGTTTACTCATTTTTTGAATTAATGTATAAAATAGACTAATAGACTGCTTATTAAATGAAGTTGTTCATGCAAATTATTGCATAAATTAAGCAGTACATATAGCTCAGTTTTTAACCCAGTTATTTTGTATAAATTATAATACTTCACAGACTGAATAATATCTTTAATACTTCAAACCGAAAGATTTTTTTCGTATGAAAGTCAGTAGTGTAATTACTTTAGTTTAAATATTAGTGCTTTATTGAAGTATACGGTAAAAGATAAAAAATGGCATCACTATCTTGCTACACTAATTTATTTACGCTAATTTTATTTTAGAAACAAGATCATTAATATCATAAAATTTTCGTTGTTCGACTGTGGCTGACTGTATGGTCCGAATCGTTAGAAAACGCTTATTTTTTCAAGGTCAGCTTTAACATTTGGGAAGTGTCATAAAGCCCATGGTACTACATAAGATATATAAAGTAGAAGAGGGCATTATGAGGTTTTAATACGATAGAAACAGTCGGTTTATGAACAGTAACGTGGCTCAGAACATTGTTATGATCGACGATGAAATTATTTATCCATTTTTCAGACGTTTTCTTCGTGTACAATTTTATAAGCGGCTTTATAATATTCAGAATTCATCGTAGAGTTTTTCGTACAAATTCAGCTAGGACACCTGAAGTAATTGAAACAATTTTTTTAAAATTTCTTAAATCACTATTCACATCATCATAATGCTTAATTTATGTTGAAACGCCTTTTTTGCACAAGTAGTAACTGGACGGTCTTATATGCCATTTATATAATGTCTGCAGCATCGCAATAAAATAATTTTAACATTTCATACATTTATAATATATTTTGAATAACTTTTCATGTGAATGCAATATTCACATGAAATATATTTATGGTTTATGGCAATAATAGCTAACTTCGGCTTCAGTTTATGAGAATTAATTTAAAGTGCGGCTGGCTCTGCGGACTATAGAATAAGTTTCATTAAGCCGGTATAAAAGCACTTCTTAAAATTAATTTTATTTATTATGCTTCGTAACTGAAGATAATTACAAAATATCCCCACAAAATCATCTCCTGACATTCCAGAGATTTCTAATTTAAGATAAACATCTGTATCCGAAATTTCAAAAAACCGTACAACGACTCTGTTCCTGCGACCTAGATCTTTGCCAAGTTTAATTTCCTCATGCCGCATAAATTTAGTTAGATTTTACATCCTGTGAATTTCTTCAAAAGGATTCTACTTCCGAAATTTATAAGTATTTTCTTCCTCCTTTCTGCGTGACTTCATGGTGTACTTGAAAGCATACTCGACACGTATTCGAAAGGTCCAGAGTTCGAGTCCCAGCGAAGGCATTGCTCATTTTTCACATCTATTTTAAAATAACTTAATGACTATAAAGTGGCACCCGAACTAAAAAAAGGCTTGTGGACAATAATTCGTCACTGTTAAGATTTGGCCGTTGTGTCCCTTAATATCGAGTCGCCCACTAAAAGAGAGAGTATATAAGTTTTCTTTCTCCTTTCCGCATATCTTCGTTTTGTAATTGGAAGCATCCTTGATGCATATTCGAGAGGTATTTGAGAAATACATAATAATAGATTTTTTTTGTATTTTTATATGTTTCTATTATTTTTAAAAAATCTTCTGGTTTGAATACAATTAATTGATGATTTTTATTGGGAAATTTTGGGATTTTTCTGGTTTGATTTTGTTTCTTTTATGCTTTTGCAAATCAGCTTCCAAATTTCTTACTTTTTGTCTGTATTATATCTATATATATTACTTTTTTGTCTGTATTATATCTATATAGATATATATGTTTATACCCATCCATCTATAAGCAGATATATGGCTATTATAGCTATATAATTGGATGTATTATGGTTTATCTATATTCGTGTATTATATCTATATCTCTCTCTCTATATATAAATAAATATATTATATCTACATACTATGTGTATGTATTATATCTACATACTATATGTATGTCTATATATATGTATGTTAGATTTTGCGGATATTCACACAATCCAATATCGGTTTGAAATGCTTTATGTGATAAAGATAATGATACTTTAGAACATTTCTTCCAAAATCATACCATATATAAGGAGATACTGGTTGGGCCACTCATGCACCGGTAAGAGGTACTAGGAGATACAAAACATGAATGCCAAAATGGCGAGCTGGTATAATCCATTACCTGTAACCATTTAGGGTGGACCTCTTTATCGCATGATCTCGTGGAAATTGAGAAGATGTAGAAAAAATCATTATGCTTAAGGAAGCAAACATTTGAGTTGCACTTAAAGTATTTGTAAATAGTATATAATTCTAGCAAATAAATGCGAAGAAATAATAACAGCTAGAAAGATTTACCACAGTTAAGTTTCATTTTGCAAACAGAGAGTAAACTAATTACGTTGAGGAAGTGTCACTTACTTTGATACATAACTGAAATCTTAAACAAAAATATTTATTAAAATATTATAAAGAAAAAAGTGCTAGGATGAATACAGTCGATGGAGTACAATATATTGTAAATGAATAATTATAGGTAATATGATATAAAAAAGACATAAGTTGCTATGTAGTCTATGATGCGAAGGTTTCGGTTGTCTAAGGGTTAAAGAAGTTGCGGTCGTATCTCTTCTGTATTGCCATTGCCAAAGAAGTTCTTTTTATGTATAATAATAACAAATCAGTGTCAAATCTCTTAGAGAGTAAGGATGTACCAGTTCTGCACAGCACATTTTGAGGAAAAGAACAGCAGTTTGTCTTTCTTTGATTTAAAGTAGAAATGGAAAATATGTTCAAGAATTCCTAAATCATTTCATAATATGCGTATGCCAAACCTTTGTTACTGCTGCATCATAGTTATAGGTGGCCATATTCCTTTTAAAGAAATCGAACTGATTGGATATTAGTATTTCTCATCCGTCCTTCACCTACGCTCCACTCCAATACTGAACCTTTTTTTAACCCTCCCTTCAAAAAACGATGTTACTACTGTTTACGTTTGTTCTAGAGTCTGAGTTATTATCTTGTTCTGAGTATCGGGAAATAAGTTGTAGCTTGTCATATTTGTCTTCATTCACATATAGCACTCTGAACTTGTAAAACTCCTTACGTTTTGAGCTCATCCTTAAGATTTTGTGAGTTTATTTCTTAACATTTTAAACGTATATGATGTATTTTAATCAATGATTATGTTATAGTTATTTGCATAAGAATCATTCTAGTATCCGGAGTAAATGTTGCAAATATTATTGAAATATATTACGTATTTCATTTATGAGCTATGAACAAACTGGAGTGATGCATGATGCCTTAATATCGCCGCATGCTCAAAAAAGGGTGTCACGAATTCCGTAATAGTGCATGAAGCATATAAAAACTGAAATGACTAGTATTGCGCTGTGTTGTTGTTGACTGACTGATTTATATTATTATGAGTAATATTTAATTGTAGAAACAGTAATTATATTCCATGTTTTTGCTCAAATAGGATAAAACAGCATTTTGCTTTGTTACTAAATCGTTTTACAAAATGAAGCATAACATTTTTACTGTATTTGTATCTATGAACAAAAAAAAATGATTCATGAGTGTCTGTAACAGTTTGAATACAGTCTTTATTCATGGGTACACTTATTTCGTTTTGGATGAAAATCGCAACAGCTGATGTACTGAGAGATAGCTTTGATTGTTTAATCATGAATGAATGATGTGGGTAAAAGTGAATGATTCGAAACCAGGAGTCTAATCAGTTTCTGTTATATCACCTTAGAAAATTTGAGCATGCTGAGCTCATCTTACCTATTGGGAAAAACATCTGTTTTACTTAATCGAGTTTTCGATTATTTAACAATATAGTAACCAATTATTATCCCATTTTATCCCAAAAGTTCTCCCTGTTTGATGTAAAAAATTTTTTAACACCTAAATTACCTACAATGTGTCATTAACTATCGAAATTTCCTAAAATTGTATTGATGTTTTCTCCCACATAAAACAATCTTGCTTTGTAACAATTGAAAATAATTTTGCTTTGTACCCTCATCTCCGAATTCTAGTGTTTAAAACCGAGTAACATGTTTATCTCGAGACGGTAATTACGATTTTTCCATTTTGAGACTTATAAGCCTCTTTTGACAGTGCTTAAAATATACGTAAAATATTTTTCATGTTGAATAACCTTCATTTAAAATGACACGAAATTAAACTGAATTTTATTAACGAAAGCATACAGAATATTAACGCGCAGTTAGTTGTAGAAATGTTCAAATTTATTGAAATACAATTCATATATTATAATAAAATACAATTTTAAAAGGCTTAAATTTGAGAATATACCATATATTAATTATATAAATGGATAGTTGTAATAATTGAGACATTTATTTATTTTCAAATGGATCAGTTTCTTCTTCTTCAGATCTTTACTCTAAAATAGTCATTTTCTGGTCTTTTCAGTCAAACTTAAAGTTATATTGCATACAAACAATTATTATATCTGTTTCCTACGACTGAAATAAATTAAGTAAAATTTATCGATAACTATTCAAGTAAGTTGTAAGATCCAGAGGCCCCAACTTGTCAGCAAACTGTGGTAGTGACTGCTACTAAGTGTGAATGTACACAGAAACGTAAGAAGAGTTTAAAGCCCTTTTTATTCAACTTTTAAAATAACAGATGCGTCCACTTGAGGCTCACAAACTACGCCAACCTGGCGGTTTAACTGAAACAGACCGTAGAACTGAAAAAAATAATGACTGGATGAATAAATAGTGAGATCGCTATCCACGAGGCTCTGAGATCTTAAACTAACCTAACCGCGTTCTAACATTACCTCTGAGATTCAGCGAGCTTACAGATTAAGCAGTTGAAAGACCTAGCAAAATCTGCCGAGCTAGGCACACAGGCCGACACGCGCTGTTCTAAAATTTCTACCGAGCAATATTCACATTCGCGATTCAA